TGACTCCTTTATTGCTTTGGAGTATTTATCTTTCCCGTGATCCCAACTATAGTTGTTTACCACAATTACATTAACCAATTTGCTAAGTCAAACATTCATCTACATCACATCCTTAACTCTCTGAGGAAAATTTTATACTATTCCCAAGATCCCAAAGTCGTTCCATTATTGGCCCTTTTCTATCCACCACCTCGCTTACAAGTTCCCACATGAACTGTAATGGAGAGTCATGTCTTCCCGACTTGCTACTCCTTAAGGATAAGCCCACTCCTAGGACCTTTCGATGCCAACACCAGTGGTGATATACTTGAGCACCAATAAAATTCGGACTAAAGAACAGCTCTGATACCAAGTTGTAAGCGACTAAATTTTCCATTCTACTTTAGTCACTTATTTATACCTCTAACCACTTGGAAAAGTCTCACTCACAACCTCAGTAAGTCCTATTTTGGACTTAGGGACTTGCTAGCCCCAAGAATGGCATCCAAGCCACTCAACCATCGCATTTGGTCTAAGTGCTCCATGTGTCCAATCTCATGACTGACACCCCAAGGTACCACCGACATATCAGCCCGTTACACTAAGGTTATGCCCATTCACCTTGGTCACACTAGTGGTTTGACACCACCTACATCACAGTCCTATCTCTAAAAGACTAGGCCATTCATCCATAAGTGATCATCCTAGATCCACTCTTTAGCATCCTTAAAATGCTCGCAGACATGGGGAATAGCCTTCCCCAATATCCCTTTTCCGGTCCCCACCAAGTCCCTTTCTGCCCATAACCGTGTTTGCCAACACTGCCACTGGATTGAGGCCCACAAGCCTGACCACTAAGTCCTATGGTCTTATGGGACTTCCTCACCACATAACTGTATCCTTGGTCACTACACCAGAGGACTACTCCTCTTCCTTTCCACCATCTAGGCCTTTAGGACAGCATTTCGGAACACCGTGGCCTTACACGAGCCTTATGGATACTCTCCCCGCCTTCCACCTTTGGGTGCTCTAGCCATGGGCTTAGAGCGAGGTTCCGTTGAGCCACACTAGGTATCCAAGTAGGTAGTGCCACCCACACTTGGACTGGGAGCATCGACCATTCGATCTCTCAAGGGAACTAAAGTCGGCTCTTAAACACTTCACTAATCTACCCCGCTTGTTGGTCCGTATTCACTCTAGTCTTGGACTTCCCAGTGATCAACTCATCACCCAACACTGGGTATGGCCTTCCAAGGCCAAACTAGCCTTTCCTGGCCAAACTGGCTCCACTAGGCTCCAACCCCCACACTCTCCCTACTATACTTTTGGAACCCCCCGCAGCCAGCCTTCCTGGCCGAACTGCTTCGACTGGAATCCTGCCTCTTACTATGGTTTTGGAGCTCACCAAAGCCCCCAGAGTTAGCTCAGACCACCATCTTTGGGCTTTCACCCTCTCAGACTCAAATTTGGACTTGGACTCGGATTCGAACTCGTACTCGAATTCGTACTCGTTCATCTGCTAGGCCTCGGCCTAGTTCTCCTTCTTGGACCCCGAACCCGACCCGGTAGCACTCACGGTCTCATGTTGGAACCCGGTCTCGATCCCAGTCCACATCTCAACCTCGAACTCCATTTCGAGTCCTTCTCGAACTCCATCTCGGACTCCGTCTCAGACTCCATCT